CGACTTTTTTTCCCTTAGCCACTGAAATTGTTTGTTTTTTACACTTCGAGATTAATTATTAGTTATTTTTTAGTAATACTATATACTAACTCATATATCACTTCTAAATTCTGCCTAGTGATTAGCCTTTTAATGATGATATGTGACATTCTCACTTCAAAAATCAGTATCCTTAAACATCAAGAATTGCATGCAATTGTAGAGGGATAATATTGCTTAACATGTTTTTAAAAAGCCTTATTCATATTCATCGTCCGCCGCAACCATTATTAGGCGACAATCGTTGTTCGACTAATCACCTGACAGCGCTTCGATTTCCCACTAATCACCAGCTTCTTCTCCAACCTGCATAAAATCGAATTCCCCTAGCAAGCCGTAAAAATCGCTCTTTATTCTACCTTAAGTCCTTATTATAAAGCATACTAATTTCGTGGCATCACTCTTATTAGGCTCTCATGGGTGTTTGTTAGAACTTGGATTTTTTTAAGCCTCGGCTTCATTTATAGTTATTAGGCTTCGTGACTATCAAGTGATGAATTTTTCCACAACGATATTAGTAGGCCCCACGATGCCATTGCATTTCATTCAGCCTTGCTTCCAAAAGTTATGCTCATACAGGCTGTACTGGAATGTAGTTTCGACCTCGTCTGGATCTCATCAGCACCCCCAGCGGGAATTGAGCACGAATAGCGCTGCGCACAATTTCATCATGCCACCGCCACATCACACTATCACGAGTGCTAGTGGTTCAAAGGACAATTGTGTATCTCAAGGGAAGAAGGGTCTCCTCCATACCACATTTATAGTGGGATTGTCGATGAGTATCATCCTCTTATGTGATATATGGTGACTAGAATTCGTATTCAAGACCCAATGATAATCTCGACATCGAATTACTGCGTAATCTTGTCGATTGAAATGGCATAAGAAAAGTCTGCCTCATTCACGAAACTGCCATAAATGTGAAATTAGAGAGGTCTTTTTGCCTTAAAGTTCATATCTGCCCCGTGAGCCACTGGCCCTCGTGGTAGTTTGGCGTAGTGGTAGAAGGTGAAAAGTGTACATTGCACTCATTGGGTTCGAGTCCCGTTGGGGTTGATGAGTCCCAGCCTGGGTCGAAATCGCATTCCAGTCCAACCTGGATGAGACTGCCCTTTGTGAGACAAAGCTAAGTAGAACTCAATGGTATCGTGAGGCCTACTCATATTCTCATTGTGGGAAAGTTCAACTATCAGCCTTTCATCACCTCATTCGACCTATGGTGACTAGGACTCTTAGTCTTAGATCTACTAAACCGTCGCCTTTGTTATCGACTGTTTTGCGCCAGACACTAAGGCTAATAAGGTCATGTTTAGCTTGCGAAATTTTGCTTATAGAGTGCTTAGTTTTCTGTAGTTGAGTTAGGACTCAACGTAAAACATCCCTGCTGTTTTTACCTCCAACGTTACCAGGCTTCATCTCAAGTTAGTTTCAGAGGTCATTCCATGTCAAGACTGTTCTGAACTCTCCTAGGATTCGTGAGTCTACCAATACTTTAGCCTCGACCTAAAAGCGACGAAGTATTCAAATTGCTGCAGATGCCCTTACCAAGTTCACATTTCGCTCGCTTTCTGCGCTCTCAGACCAAAGCATTCAATCTCACACATTTGAACGCTGTACCATGCCTCTTTCCCTGCCATACGGCCTGTGCATGCAAGCAATCATATGTGCACACTGCGTGTGTGGCTGCTTCGGACCAGGGTGCTTTAGAGATGGCGTACACTGTCGCCTCGATCGGGTTTTGATACATTTTCAGCCAAAACCAACTCTTCTTTGGTCTTAAGGCGACTTTGAGGCCAACGCCACTGCAGGTCGACTTAACCTGGCCAATCAGGCCGCAGTACTCAACCGCCGTCACTCATTGGTCCATGATCAACTCGTTTCTAATTCACACATTAGTCGCCCAATCAGCGCCGGCAGTAATGCCAACGCTTATTCCACCGTTTGGTGAACCCCTGCCTTCTCTCTTTCTCTCTCTCTCGGTTGTCCTTCTAAGCCGTCGCTAGCGTACATGTGTACACTTATGTGGTCTTGTTCCTGACTGCTGTGAGAGCGCTCTCATTTTCTGTAAAATGGCTATACTATGTACAGATTTGTCCAGTTGACTAGGGGAAATTTATTCTATCTCTTGTCACCTGAGGCGATTCAACAGCCCGCATCTGGTCGCATTTCCTTTCCATTTCCCGTCAATAGGTGCCTTCCCACAGCCGGGCTCTCCGATCATGCTGTCGCCCTCGAGCCTCAGCCGAGCTGGCCACGAGGTGCTGAGCAGCCGAGGCGACACGGCGGCGGCGCTTCTGCTTGCCCAACCAAAGCGGACGCCTGAATCCCTGCGACTACGACCGTCCGACAGTGGCTGTTTCTCCGAGACACGGGCGTCCCGCGACGAACACAGCTTCGTGGTGGAATGTTGCTATTTGCGACGCGCTAGCACGGATCAGCCTCTCCTCGAGACCACACACAACCTCAGAGCGGCCAACTCGGCCGAGGGGGCCGTGTCTAAACGCAGCGGTTGCCAAGCAGCGCGTCGGTTCACCAAGCTCGGCCAATTCTCCGCCTCTCTGAAGCAACTGTCCAGTCCGGGCGTCAACACGAACGGGCAAGACGCGATGGTGATGCGACGAAATATCGCCTCTCGGTTCTCTTCGTCGGCAGACGCGCTCGTCTCGCCGACTACAAGCAGCAGTCCGAACTCCGGTCGCCGGGCAGCCTCGGCCGGCCGTCGAACCCATCCCGCTTTAGCCGCCTACAGACTTGACCGCCTCCCCTACCGTCTCGACTACACCAGTCTGCCATCGTCTGGCCTTGGGCCCACCGGTTCTCAGGTTGGTGTCTCCATCTCCACTTCTCCGCAGACCAGATCCTCTTCTTCCTCCTCCTCCTCCTCTTCTTCCTCTTCTGCCGCCATTTCGCTCTCTGACACCGCCAGCGCTTCCGTCGCCGTTCAGACTCGTCGAATGGCGATTCGCTCACTCAGCTCGCCCCCTTCGGCCAGTCGATGGCGGCCGCTGCAGACGCGGAGGAGGGTTGTCTCGGAGGGCAGTCATGAGGCCGATGTGGCCGGTACCGACACTTCCGAGCAGCCGCAACCCTTGCCCGGGCCGAGTGCGCCTCTTCACTTTGCACTGAGCATGTCTCCTGTTCTGGTGGAGGAAGAGGGTCTGCAGACACGACAACAACATCAGCTGCAGGAGCAAGTGGCCCATTCGTCTACCACTCACCTCGACGTGGAGCAGAAGACCCGCAAGCCCGAGCCTCAAGAAGGCACAGGCCAGTCGCTGTCCAAATGGCGGCTGTATGCAGACCAATTAGAGTGAGTCTTCACACCCCTTTAGCCAATACCAATGTTGTGTAGCCTGTAGCTTGATCGAGGCCTCCTCTTGGTTGGACCTTGTGTTCGCAACTTGTTTGATGCGAATGGGACACTCTGTCATAGCATTCATTCTAACTTCCAGCACCGGGCCGTTGACATCTTCAATTTGAGGCGCACAGAGTTACAACTTGTCATTGAGCAGGCCGACCACGATGTGGGAAGTCAAGGTCTTTGTGTTGCCACGGCGATGAAGCGAAACCGATGTCAAGCCTACAGGAACGCATTCATATATGAAGAAAATGTGGGTGGCAACCGTGGCTGTGTGGTGAAGTGGTGCCGCGGATGACCCAGTTTCAAATCACACCGGAATTGCTGGTGAGACTAAGGATAGGGCCGAGAATGCTGTCCCGTTTGAAGGAAGAAGCCTCTCGGAAGACGCAACAACATCGTCTACTTATTTGGACGAGTCAGGTTCTTGTTCAAGACCAACTGGCAGTTCTAAAGCCTACTAAGTCCGAATGAGAAACGTATTATTGGCCCACAAGTCAACAATGGTGCTGGTGAGAATAATATTAACATCGAGTTGCTTGGCAGTTAATACTGATCCTTGGAGTACCAAAGTTGAAGCAAAAAGGATGCATGGCGTTGCATGCATAGGAAGGCTTGCCTTCTCGCCTCATGCGGAGATCTTCTGCGAAGAGACATATTTTATAATTCTGACAAATGAAGTAAGTGCTTAACGAACCTTTATAAAAAGAGAGTGTTCGCCGTCAAAACTCTCCGCCAAAGAAGAGATCAAGTTCAGACAGATTATCTGTGGAGAACCAATGTCACTTAAGTGTATGAGGAAAAGTTGAATTTGGAAGAATACCTGAGTGATATATTGTGGAATGACTTTAAATTTAATCAGAAAATTGGTTGGAAGGAATTAGTGAATTTGTCTCGCCGAGGCCAACGGAGGATTGTTGAAGAGTGCACTTTTTTGATTGCATGAAGAGGTCCTCGCCTCATCGTCCTAGAACTCCGATGCTTTAGTCTGTCATCTGATGAGCATCATCAGAGCAAGAACACATACTTTTCAAAATAACGCACCAAAATACAGAGCTGCCGACTGTAACCATAGTCACTTTTTATACACCCTTTTTGGTGCTCCTAATGAAGCACCCCTGATTTGGTTGGCTATCTCAAGCTTACTCTACATGCTCACAGATGAGTGAAGTTAATTCATGAAAATGAAGTGGATTCGTTGGAAGTTGTGTCCTTACATTTCATGAAAGCAATATCGTCGATTGTAATGGTGATGGTTGGGGTCGTAGGATGTTGAGCTGAGGGCTTCTTCGCACAATCTAGTAGTCTTCACTTTGGAGCAATCCTCCTTTTCTTGTAAGTGAGACTATTTCACGGATTCCTTCCAACCAACTTTACCTTCGAAATGGAAAGTCGAGTCGAAATAACTTATTCAGTCTAGGTCCCTTAAGATGATTTACTGATTGATAGTGAAATTTTTCCCACAATGAGATGATCAGGCCTCAGGATTCCGCGGAATTTTACTTAGCTTTATCCTCCAAAAACGCTTTCCCGTCCAGTGTGGACCGTAGTTTCGACCTCTTCTGGGTCTAATCAGCACCCTAAACTGAATTCAAAACCGGGCCGTGACAATTGTGGTGGCATGCTTTCAGTTCGCTCTCTGCTTCGTCGGAATTAGTGCCTGTCCAGTGGAGCTATGATCTGTCGCCACGATGCCCACGTCCCGGTTTCAAATACAATTGGAGTTGCTGACAAAGCCTAGGCGAGATCAAAGCTGCAGCCCACTTTGGCTCAACGGGGATTTTGTGTGGCAAAGCTAAGGGAAATTCAATAGCATTGTTTGGCCTACTCACGCCATCATACCCTTTTGCTGACTACCGAATCAGTTTGTCGCCTATTAAGCCGGAAT